GTTATGACACCATTCTTCAAGATTTATGAAGTGTGATTGAAGAGTTTGGGATGCAATCAATGGATCAGTATTAACTGATAGGATACATGTGTCATCAGCCTACTTGGTGATGAAAGTGTTAGGTTGGGTTGCCATATCATCAGTATAGGATAGGACCAAGGATCTATCTTTTTCTCAATCTACCTTGAGGAACGCCGGCAGATTGATAAAATATGTGTGAATATGTATTATTGTGGTTTACTTTGAAGTGTGTTGAAGTACCAAAGTAAAATAAAAGAAAAATGTAATTATTGGTATCTAAACTGTAATTAAAAAAAAAAGATTCCTTTTTTAGCATATTTAATTAACGAATGATGTAAAACAAGTATTTGTTTACCAGAGGTTTATTTTAAACAAAAAAATATCTGGTGTGTCCACTCACACGACTTTCCTACCTATTTCAGAAAAGTTTTTATATCTTTACATATGTTCATAAAGAAACAAAAAAGAATTAAACTAGATACATTTTTTTAGTATCTAGTATCTAGTACGATTTATTTGACAAACTAAAGCAATGTAAACCTGTTTAAGGTAGATCAGTGTAAACATTTCAATACTTCCTACTATTGCTGATCAGAAACCTTTTGGCATAGCTTAGTGATGTAAAACAATACTTTTTGTTATAAGTAGAGGAAATAGTGAAGCTTGTGTGTTGCGGGCAACAGATTTTCTTACTTTTCACTTTCTGACACCAGGATATGAACCCGTAGTCTTAAATTGGAAATTGAACAGCTATAACTTCATTAATAGTTGTCCAAAATGAACGATTTTTATTTGACTTTGTAGGGAATTTCATTACCTTTCAAACGACAGACCAATGGCTAAAAATGTGTTTTTCGGACTCAAGGGGCTCTGAAACGTATAGATCCGTCGAAAACCGCATGTCGGAAATTTGACCCGATTGCAATACTTTCCTTACCTAGTATAGGTAGGAAAGTAAAAAATATAAATAACAGGAAATACTGAGTTCCGAGTAATACCCAATAAATCTCTGAAAATTGAGCAAATATTGTCTAGATTAGAATTTTCAATGATTTTGCGAAAAGCGTAAATACCACCTTCAAAGGTCATAAGGACGATATTAATAAAGATAAATATTTAAACATGGACAAAATTAGTTTAATATATATATATTATTTAATCACATTGATCCATGTCTCAGATTAGTTGTCAACGAGTTATGACAGGTCGTTTTCAGGTTATGACATGACTAGATAATTAAGTTCAAAGAAGATTTCATTATTTCATACAATAGCCCGAAGAGACAGGCATACAAAAACCACCGCGATAGGTATATCAAAACTGAATTGGAGTCGGACAATGTAAGCAATCCGGCTCAGTTGTTCTGAAAAGATTTTAAAAAGGCTTTCATCACCTTCATTTATAAAGAAAATCTTTTTATCGCTGGTCCCATTCAAAGTAGCGAGGTATAAATGAGGTGCTTATATTCACAATACTAAATTAATACGAAATAACTAAGATACACCTGCTTATATTGTTATTATTTTGATTTGATTTTAAATTCTAAGGATATAAGTAATATATACAGTATCAATAAAAATTTCGAAAGCTACTACATTTTTAAGCTACAAATAATATTCGCTCCAGTCGACTATTTAATTAATTAACTAATTTATTAAACAATATTATTAGATATAAACTAATGATTTAAATTCAACTTATTTCTATATTTTTACAAATAATTTATTTCTAAACATATTATGATTAATACACTATACATCGATCAGCACTTCTATACGTCCTTTTTATGACACATTTAATAAATTATATCATATTTTATTTACAAATAGGCTAAAATAAATTCGGTCTATTTTAGCCTCTATAATTGTTCAGTTGTAAATAGTTTTCTATCGGAACTTGAGTACTCGTTTCGATAAAAGGTCATTATTTTTTGTTCATCTTTAAATCTTTATCTTTAAAATTTTTATAATCAGCTATTTAACTAAACACTTTTAGTTCAGTTTCCGATATAGGTTATTTCAAATTTTATTCATAAATAGTCTAAAATAAATTCATCATGTTTGGGGCTCTGTAATCGTTCAGTTGTAAAAAGTTTTATTTAATAAAAGTTGATAATTATTTTTCTCTTTATAACTTTATTGGCAGCCGTCATCGTTGTTGAATTTGCTTATGACATTTCAGGCATGAGATCGTAATTTAAATAAAACATATCTGTCATATACAAATTATAGAAGGCTAGAAAAGAAAAAACAAAAACATGTTTACAGAAACATTCTATAATCTCTCATGAAAACTCAATCCATTTCATAAAAACATGGAAACCAGTCAATAACAGGTTCACTATATATACGCTTAATCATAGAAACAATATGTATTCACTGATTGTCGGTTACGAATTCAACAATAATGAATCAGCAATTTCATTTATTTATTTCCAATTTTCTCTTTGGAAGTTGGAAGTTGGATGTGAAGTAAATATGTCTGCGTAATGTCTGACTCCTACAATTACCAATTTTTGTAATTAATTATACCTAAACATTTTCATAAATTCCAGTCATTTTGCTGGATAAAACCACCACAGTAGCCAAATTAATGAGTTGGAAGGATACTTTTTTTATCACATTTCTATTCTAGCAATGATCATCTCCATTGCGGATATGCTTTGTTCAAAAGCATCTCCATGGCTGAAAGAAGGGTAAAAGTATAACCTGATATAGTATGCCGAACAATCCGCCAACGTGTACTACTTCAGAACCAACATACCAGTTGTACATCTTATTCATAGTAGGTCGATATCGGTACCTGTTTTACCCTCTTTAAGTGTAAATCAGGTTTACATTCAAAGCATTATTCTTTGAAACTCTTCAGAAAGAGATAGGTAAAAACATAGGGTCTTGTGTTCTCATAGTATGATTAATTCTTAAGTGATTATTTTTCATAGTTAAGGCACCGACAACTACTATATTTTGTTAAATTCCATATTACACCGATTTGGGACATAAAATTAAAATTGTAAAATTGTGTGTACTTACATTTTGAATTTTTTGAGCTTAACGAAAATATTTTCGCATAAGAAGCAACTTGAAATTGTAGGCCGATAAAGGTAGAAGATGACGTTTGACAGCAACTTGAAAAAAAAGAAGAAAATTCAATCTTGCGCGGTAACGGGAGAATAGAAGAAAAGACCGCTGTACGGCGGGACACCTCATTAAAATTATTCACAATGCTGACGTGGTAGGAAGAAGAACGAGAGACGGATCTAGCCTTCCATGGAAGGAACTGATCAAAAGAAATAAAACCTGCGAATCATAAACTGGCACCCGATCTCTTCTGATCCAAATTATTTCATAATTATGTTCATTTTAAATAAGCAGGGTGTCTTTGTAAGTAGAAAGAGATTTCTATAAAAGTGATAGCTGCCCTCAAAAGTAAAAAAAAAAATTCAAGCTAACCATGGGAGAATTTTCAAAATAAAAGTAGAAAACCCTAGTTTTGTATTTTTTTAAGGCAATCAATGTTTTTTGTTGAATAGGAAGCGATAACTAAAGAAATATCAAAGTTAAGTAATTAACGATTGCTTCACTGTAAACTAGATAAAATTTACTTCAAATAAAGAAAGGTTTTTCATTCGTCAAACCATGCAAATAGGATTTTCGTGAGGCTAAACTAAGCTAAGTTCTGTTTTTAAAAAAAATCATAAACTATAGGTTATTTCTTTTTATTGTTACCCAACTAAATTACAGATACCTCACGTTACGAAAAATTGCATGGTTTATCTAGCTTTGATTCCATTTTAATTAACTGGAGGCTCATTAGGAAAACAATTTAGATTCACTTCAAGTTGCGTAAAAAAATTGACGTGATGTTATATTCGTTCCTCTAAAAGTACCCATGTTTCCAGCAAAAATGACTATAATTAATTGTTGTGAAGCTATTATTTCAAGATTCCTCATGATCTTGGATGCCTAATGATAAACATAATTGCCTAAATACACTTTTTTTTAGTTAAAAAAATATTTTAATAATGATTTTTCAAAGATTTTCCTGCTAAAGTGGTACTGGAACTTTGTTTTTCACCTAGATCTCTATTAAACAAATTGTTCCATATTTGTAGGTGAAGAACTAAATGTTCCAAGTCTTCAAATTCACGTTTCAAATAGATAAATATCTTGATTTCTTCAATTATTTTGAATTACATAAGGTCTGCTATCAATCTTATAAAAATTCTATCTACATACACTCTGCGTAATTGTTATTGTGTTTGTTTTAAAACATTAAATGTTTATCTCAACTTATTTTCTGATGTATGCTAATTTAATTAATATGGATTTGAATTTAATTGAATGGATTTTTTTAATCTTATGGTATCTGTAGCTAAACTAGAAGGTGATAAAAAATATTCGTCAATAATTCATGATTAAAAAAAACAGAACTTAACTTAATGTAGTCGCTGAAAAGTCCTCTTTTATTTTTTTAATTAATCACTGACTTTCAATTGATGTAAATTTTGTCTAGTTTACTATAGAGCAACTTTTATATTAATTAAAGTAATTATTAATTATATTAACCGTTTCCAATTTAACTAAAAACACGAATTACTTATAAAAATAAAAAAATTAATTTCATAATTTTAATTAATACTTTCAAGCTATGTATATACTTTTATGTTATAAATATTTATGTCCTAACATAAAAAGTCAATACTTTTTCTTTACTTATTTTAGATATTTTTTTATTTTCTGCAAGTTTTTCTTTTTCTGTCTGTATGTAATGTTGTTTATTTTGTTTTTCCATTACAACTATGAGCACTCTTGAGAAGATTTTATTTTATTTTTTAGTTGTTTATATACTATTATTTAAATTATTGTATATATTGTTAGAATCTTTGCTAGGATAGTTTTTAGTCAGATATGTATTTTTTCATTATTGTTATTCAAAAGGGTCTTTGAACAATAATGGAGTTTATTTTCTATTCTATTCTATTCTCTCTCTCTCTCTCTCTCTCTCTCTCTCTCTCTCTCTCTCTCTCTCTCTCTCTCTCTCTTTATATATATATATATATATATATATTATATATATATATATATATATATATATATATATATATATATATATATATATATATATATATATATATACACTAGTTGGCCCGTGGGAAAAATTTGCAGACAATTATTTTAGTGAAGAAATAGCAAAACAATATGCAAATAAGTAGTTCCTATGTATTACGTAAGGAAGGAATTAATATTCTTTCCTTAATTGATTACAATATTCCATTAAACATAACAGACAAAAATATTTGTACAAATTGCTTTGCTAGGACCTATTTTCAAACGCCGACTGGAAAGATAATAAACGTAATAAAGATAAAATAATGCCCCGACCATAGGATATTCTAAATTATTAAATAAATAGAATGTAAGAACAACCAAATGTCTTTAAGAAATAATAAAGTTAATATGAAAGCCAGAAAAAAAATTTAGTAGACTATTCTACTAATAAATGCAATATCTTAAAACAGGAAGACATTACTAAGTATATCAAAGCTAATGGACTGTATCTTTGTAAATAATTGTCCGATTTTTTGTTTGTTTTGTAGGTAATTTAGTAACCTTTCTAATTTTTATGAGTACAATCAAGAAAAATGCATACTTTTTAAGTTATTCGCAGTTTTTTTTTCCTCAATAACTTTTTTTCCAGAAATATCGGGGGAAGGACCTATTTTTCGCATGTGAAGGAGAGGAATATCTTCAAAATGAGTGGTCAATCATTGGATTTAATGAAGAATTGACGAAGTTATGGTCTCCCGACAAAAGAACACCTTTTATATTAATATATATATATATATATATATATATATATATATATATATATATAATATATATATATATATATATATATATATATATATAAACTCTTGATAACTACTATTACTCCTCTTATTATTATTATTATTTACTACTTTCCTCTACTTAGGAAAACCATGTATGTATGTAAATATATTACAAGAGCTCACCTTGGTTAGGGCGATGGCCGGAAAGTCGTCCCAGAGTAAGACGGCCTCCTCTCCTGTGTTGCCCAGCCTCTGTCCCTTGAAGACTCTGGCAGCGGTGTTGGTCGTGACCCCGAGTCCGTCCGCGATGAGGAGGACCATGTTCTTCGCCTTCAGTCGGGGGTCGCTTCCTTCAGCTCTTTTGGTCACGGCAGCCCTTCCGAGTTCGTACCAGTAATCTCGATCTGTAACATCATCAGTAGCATGAGGCTCAACAAAATAACTAGGAAATTAAAAGAAAACAGTAATTTTTATGTATAATGACTTTAGAAAAGACAAAGGGAATGTAAATTAAATACTACAACAGAGATAAAGGAATGCATCTGTATGGTAATTCACACATCAGAAAGTGCAAGGAGAGAAATTAATTACAATATTTTCCAAAAACTCAATTGAGCTTAGATGAGTTTCTGGGCATTTCAAGTGTTAATTTTATCAATTTCAAAATATATCGCTAAAAAGAACCACCTACAAAAACCTCAAACCTTCCAATCAAAATTATTGCGACTCATAACAAAAGCATGTTACGTGACTAACAAAACTCTACAGACTGTACTCCACCTTCCAACAGTTGACCAGTATATAGCGAACCTTTATAAACGATCTTACACTAATTTTAACGGACATAATAACAGACTAATAAGAAATATGGCCTCAGCTGACATACCTCAAAACATGAAGAGGAAACTAAAAATGCATTGGATAAGAGATCTCCTTCCTTAAACAACTTAAGTAATTGGAACAAGTTAGGGGAGAGGTACTGCTGAGTACTTTCCTTCCCCATCCCTGTCATGGCATTATTTTCTGTATCGCCATCCCATTTTCTGATTGTCAACAATAAGTTGACAGGGGCAAATGCATTTTTATAGACAAAAATATATATATTCTTTTAATTTAATTTTTTTCCTTACAAACATTTTTTTAACCTCAGATTGCCGTTTTTATTAGGTTTTCACTGGTACTTATATGTAAAAACAGAACATTCAGGCTGAAAACGATTTTAATTTTTAATATACATTTATATTTATACATTTATATATTTCTTAGAAACCAAATGATATTATCTTCGACTGTTAACTCATAATGTATTTAAAGACATGGAACAGGAAACGAACAAATTATCATATTTTCTATTCCAATATGTTGTTTTTTTTTTGAGTAGAAAGACAATTTTTTTTTCAATTAAAGGAAGGAGATGGTCCGGGGTGGCGGTCATAAATAGGCTGAATAGGGCAAAAATATTTTATTAAAAGCCTGATGGCTTTTAATAAAATGGTTTTTAATAAAATAGTTTTGCCACTATTTAGCCTATTTATGACCGCCACCCTGGACCATTTCCTTCCTTTATAATTTATAATGGAACAGTCAGCTATTAAATATTCAATTTTTTAAATTAAAATGAAAGATACTGAAAGTATATATATATATTTAGATGGTTTGATTATTTTTGTTTAACATTTACAAATTTATTATTTTTGTTTAAAAATCCATCAGGTATATGGATTAATAACATATGTAATTATAACAATTACTTAAAATAGGGAGTTTAATGAGATAAGGAGGTTTAAAGAGAAACTACACATTAGTTGCACTTGATACTAGATCTACAATATATTCCCAAGGATATCTTCTTTTCAGACACCTAAGGAATCATTAAAAATCTAAGAATATTCAAGTTTTGAAACCAATGAGTTTAAAATAGCCTGGATTTTATCATGAAAAGATGTAAGCTGGCGACTACATAATATGTTCCACTAATGGTTCCAGGTTTTAATTTTGGAGGCTTCAGCCCGAAAGGTGTTTTATATATATATATATATATATATATATATATATATATATATATATATATATATATATTATATATATATATATATATATATATACATATATATTACGACTAGCTGACCCGTGCCAATAATCCGTACAAACCTAATATTTGTATCTGATATTTGTATACATTAAGGGATCAGCACAACTTTCATTCAATAATATTTGATATGCAAAGGTTTAATACATATATTTAATAAGTTATTAGTTAATAAATGTGATTTACAATCTGCCATAGTTTAACCTTTTCGTATGTTTAAACTTATAATTTAAATATTACCTTTTTCCTTCATTAGATTATCACAAATTAACAAAAGCTTTCGATCACTGCTTTAAACATCGGAAGACGACAAAAGCTTCAAATTCTCAGGGAGGAATAGTTAGTTCAATGAGGATGTATGTTACTTTATCATTAAACAAAAAAATTGAAAGTGTACTTTTAAAATGATATACTTCAATAATAAAGATCTAAAAGTAAAAGCTAATTTAATTGAAGAGCATTGGCAAACACGTTTAAAGAAAGACACATTTATATAAACTGTATTTTTTTTTTTGGCAAATAAAACATTTTGCCACACATAAGAGCACTAAGTACTATAGCAGAGTGAGATTCAATCATACAATATATATAATACAAAAACAAATAATTTAAAAAAATCAGATAAATAAAAATATATCTATATAACAAGGCAAAAGTATAAAAAAACAAGGAAATGTAACTTGAAGAAAAAATTAAATAAAATACAGAAATTCGTAGAAAAAAAGATATATATATATATATGTGTAATAGAAATAAATAGATAAATAAAAATAAATAGATTAAAATGGAAAAAAAATCATACTTAATTACAATATTTACTATCAGCTGAGGGAACACCGAACCCAGCCCTTTTCCCCACGGTGAAGGACAAGGCGAGACCAAGAGATCCCGGTGCTTCTCTCTCAGCCGTATCATTGGGATGGGGATCCATTGGAGACTTAGAAAGGACATATATTTATATAAATAAACGTAAAAATAATAATTTAATTAATTAAAAAGAATAAAATATTTTGAATTAAAAAAAGTAATTACTGATTCATACATCATACCGTACCACGGAAAAAAAAGGCAAATTCCCCATATGCTTGAAGTATAACAAATACTGAATGTTCAAAACACTACAAATCAGCTCCAAATCATCCGATTTCAATGATTTATTTTACATTTTATAGGGAATTTAGTAAGCTTTCATAATGTACCGATTGCGTACTTTTCGAGTTATTTGCAATCATGAATTCATTTGTAACGTCTCGATTCGTTGAAACGGCATGGTTTGAAACCTCTCCACATTCACGTTTAATTAAAATTAGGAATAAAAATTACGATTCACGTAATCTACGTGATATTCCCTTTCTATTGATACCTCATTCGTCAAAATCCATTACTCCTGAGAGCCGGGAAAGGGATATATATTTCAGAAATAATGAATAAGACAATTGCTTTGGAATAATAAGAAAGAAACTAAGTACCAATATGAAATAGTGTTTAAATGATTCTTGAAGTAATATTAAATGTAATTAGAAGAATAAATATACTTTTAGAGATAATTTTTTTTTATAAAACCTGGTTACATCTTGCGATTTGAGGGAGAGGGACTTCAGTCCAAAACCCCTGTCTTCCCCCTCTCCCCCCGTAGATCTCTCTGTGATAATCTCATATTTTTGGAACATTATGGTTACTGTTAACCATAATGTTAGCGCGCTACATTAGTAAATCAAATATCATAGGATCTAATCCCGGCCCTACTTCCCAATACGGCTGGTCCCCGCGGGAAGTTAGACCGTTACCCTCTTAATTAGATGAGACCTATAGGTTGAAAAATACTTGTGAGAACAGGCTTTTAAATAAATAAACGGTTATTGTTGGTGTTTTTATGAGAAATAAGGTAAGAAGGATTACATAAAGCTCATTTGTTAATCGAAAAACCTGTTTTGGATTGTAAGGAATGGATGCGAGAAGAATTAAATGGTTAAAGGTACTCTAAAACTCGTCTCGGTACGGATTAATTATATAAATTAATTAGAGAAATAAATAGATTTTAAAAATGATTTTCACCTGACTTTTAATTTAAATATAAGTTGTGTAATTACGGTGATTAGTCAATTCTAAAAAAAAAAATGTATTTTAATTTTTTATTTTTTATCTCAGATCTGGCTATGTGGGAGGATGTTGAGCCAAGTTCTAATAAATTTCAATAAAAAAAAAGAAATAAAAGTTTGAAACTTGTCAATATAACTAGGTTCTCTAGACGAACACCTTGTAAGTTATAATATCCTTTGCAATCATCTTTGCAACTTCTCGGCTAAGAGATATCAATTTGGGCTTGTAATTGGTTTGTTCATAATTGATTTGCTGATTGCTAATTATCATATTGGAGAGGATTTGATCTCGATTTGGTACAGCCAACCGAATCCATTTATCAACGTAAAATAATTTAAAGCTGATTATTTAGAAGTTTAAATATATTCGAAATATTAAATATTTTTAAACTAATTTTTAAGTATATTCTGAATTAGTGAAAAATTATAAACCTAAGTTATAATTATTATATTGATCATTCTGGTTAAAATATTTTACTATTTTAACATTCAATTCTCCCATTTTTTTTATTCCAATCCTTATCATCAAGATGAATAGTTTTCTATATTCAGTCTTTAATTTTAATTTTTTGAAAATATGCTGGACATCTGGCAATATTTTAGAAAAAAAGAGGTACATATTTTTATATATTTTGTATCATAAAATTTCTACATATCAAATGAAAAAAGACGTTTACAAAAATATCAAATGTATTTACTATTTTAAAAAAAACCTTGATTTACGTTTGTAAAAATGGGTACTTTGTAAAGTATCAAAAAAAAAAAAAAATGGAATTATGCTTCATTGTAAGCAGATAACTACGTAGGTACCTATGGCTTGATAAATGGTGCTTTTATTTTAAAATCAGTTTAAATTTGTGTCTCTTGTTTTTAAGATGGCTCCAAAGGTCTAGATTTAAAGTTCAGACAAAACAAATTATTAAGTTATAAGTACTAGGGTTATTATTATAATAATCTCCTTCAGATGTTCTTTATGTATGATATATTATTCATGCTTTACAAGTTTATTCTGTGAACTTCAGATAACACAAACATTACCATTTCAAACAACTTGAAAGTTTTAACTTGATGTCACTATCAACTATGGTGACTTTTCAGAGCTTTATTTTTCAGTTAAACTTAGACATTTTTTGAAACTGTCTCGACTATGGAAATTCAATTATTGTTTATGACAATGTCAAAGAATTTTTTTTTTCGAAGAAAGTTAATTTTTGTTTTGCAAAGACATATTTAGTAGTACATAGTATTCGGAATGGTTTGTTAGATTTAAGAAATGTATTAAATCGGTGTATCACTACAGCACATGGTGTGTCTTAGGATCATTACTTTTTAAGGAAATACTATTTCAGGACTAACAGCTGTGTAACAACATGGTCGATCAATGACAGATGAAACAGCTTACCTGTGATCAGCCGGATTCAAACCTGGGACCTCAGTGCCTTTCCCACTGAGCCACTGCTCTTCCTAAGCAACAATAAATTATATTTAATCGGTTTTGTAATAACAAATTAAAAATTTGCCAGTTCGTACCTAGATGATTCCATTGGTTTTATGGAAATATGTCCAATACTTGACGTATTTTCCCACAAACGTATGCAGTTAAAACTCGACTACTCATATTTAGCTGGAAGTTAAAGGAGTGTTTGGAAATATATAATTGGTCCAACATATATATATATATATATATATATATATATATATATATATATATATATATAGACAACAAATATATAAGGAAAACTATAAAAACAAATGTTTTGGAAAATGTCAATATATATATATATATATATATATATATATATATATATATATATATATATATATATTGACATTTTCCGAAACATTTGTTTTTATAGTTTTCCATATATATTTGTTGTCTGAATTCGTTTTGTCTTGAATAAGTATACCTTGAAAAAGATGGTGGCGAAACTTACCTTAGGGGATTTAAACTTTGCAGATGTTTTTAGCTCCTAAATGATATGTTCACAAATAAAAAGTTTTGACACATTGCTCTTGCTCTCAACTGAACGACTAAATCGAAAGCTTTTTCGAGATCCATAAAAGAAACAAAGAACTCCCCTCCCCCCTTTTTTTTCCAGACCAGGAGATGAATGTTTACCAAACAGGCTAGAGTCACTACATCCGCTCTTCCGATCTCTGTTTGTACACTCCATCGTTCCGAACTTTTCTTCTATTGGCAGAAGCAGTTAGGAAGCTTTGTTTTCGGAGGCAACACATCAGTAAATCAATTATCACGCCTGCATTAAAAGTATATTTTCTGAACCTTATACTACCCAAGAAATTTTTTTATAATTCCAATAAGTTGTTATATTGCATTATCAATTCCAAAAATTAAATCACGCTAAGTTAAAGATATTTCATTTATTTTTCTTAAATAAATAACCATTAAAATACATGGATTTTTATCTGCAATAACCCAAATATATATATATATATATATATATATATATATATATATATATATATATATATATATATATATATGTGTGTGTGTGTGTGTGTGTGTGTGTGTGTATAATTCGGGATGTAAATCCAACAGGCTTCTTCCAGAGATTTTATTTTCCTTTTTAGAGATTTTATATATATTTCTATATTATTGAGTATCATATTGTTATTTGCCTTGTATAAACAACACGGGGGGGGCCCCGGGCTTATCCTGTCGTACCCCCTCTCAAAGACGGCGTTATCTACATCTAAGGGTCAGATGCTTGAAGACGAAGCACTCATCCTACTTGCTCATCCGACTTCAGGGAAAACACCCAGCGGCTAATTTACTCTACCAAATGCACGAGATGACGGCTAACGGAGGGAGAGAATTACAGCCCTTCAGCTATACACGTTGCAGCCCTTCGGCTACACATTAACTGTACAACCAGCTCCCAACACATTGGACGAGCGGCGGCATCGAGTGAGAGAGAGGCGACGGACCATATAGTATGTACCGGGCCCTTCCTCCATCCCCCTCCCAAATATTATACAAAGCCTTTTTCGGCAATTCAGTAATATCTCAACATATGCGGGCTTGATACCCACGATTTTTGTTTATCAGCAAATATTAAAATGCGAAAGAGTTCCGCATTTGCAGATTGATTAGCAGAACGGTCCTTCCCCGTTCAATGTCAAAGTCACAAGGCCTTCTGCCACATATGTAACCTTTAGTTATCCCCAATCCTTAAAATGCCCTCGGGCAGTGGAAGGAATTTATTACATGTTTATATTGTATTATTGTATACTATATATGTAATTGTTTCAATAAACTTTTTGGAGGGTAAGAAAAAAAAAAAAAAAAAAAAAAAAAATTTGCAGATTGCATGTTCGATGATTAGTAATTAAAAAAAAAAACAATCCAGTGTTCACTGAATGTCTATAGCGCTATTGTTAGTGCAAAAGATCGTATGTAAAAATTGAGTGATTCACAGAAGAACATAAAAACTAACTATTTCTTTATGATTTCATATTTTAGTGCCCTCTGCTATTTTCCATAAGTAGTAGACTACTTATATCTATTGCAGACTAAATAATGTTAAATTAAGAATAAAAATTGAAAACTTTTACATACAACCATTTGTACTAACATTAATGATTGGCATGTTTTCACTCGTAAAGTAGATGAATAAAAAAATCGATAGGAAAAATTCAACTTTTTGTTTGATCGGAGTTAACGAGACCAATACTTTTCTTCAGTAAGAAGTTCGCACAATTTAGATATATAAGGAGGAAATTGAGACCACGACGAGCTGGTTAAACTTCAATAGACTTGAATAGGAATAAACACAACCACAAAACTTTTATTTATGAACTCAGATTAACA